CAGTTACTGAGACCCTGACCCTCAGCTGTGAATTATCTGCTTTCTCCTGAGGGCCCAGTTATATGACACTCCAAAATGAAATGAGATATCTGATTTCTATTCACCTCCTCACACATACACACACCGCACCCATTCCCACCTTGACTTAGAAATCAGGAATATATATCTAGGCAGTATTCCTAAACTGAGACCTTCCCCTCTATTTTGGTTATCATACAACATAAGGTGTGAGGCAGAAAAATACTAATATGAGCATACCCTTTGTTTCCAGGCACATGTCAGAAGTTAGGCTCAAAAAAATTATCACCTATCACATAGCAGAGGTCAATATCCACTATGGCTGTGCAAAGCTTCGGTAGCTGATTTGATTCCTCAGTGGGCAGCTGGGGTTAGCCTCCCAGAGCACAGCCTGGCCCAGCCTGCACCATGCAGATATGGGGGCACATACCGGCTCCCATGCCCTCCTGGACAGGTGGTGAGAGCCACCAGAGGAGCAACCAGAAGAGCAGCGCCCAGACCGACAGTGCATGGCAGTGTGCAGTAGCAGGAGCCCCCCCTCCCTCACTGGGGGGCATTGATCTGCCTCCTCCCCACACCCCTTGAATCCAGCCACCACAACAGACTTACCAGCTGGAGGCAGCTGTGTCCAGCATTGTCTGCCTGTATAGTCTATGGCCAAATCTCTGAATCGGTGCCAAATCTCCAAATCTGAATCAGCCAAATCAAATCGGGACAGTGATTCAAATCACCAAATCAAATCTCTGTCCCTCCAAATTAGCCAAATCCAAATCTAAAGCAAATATTTGTTGCTTTGCACAGACCTAGTATCCTTTGACTCCAAAAGCCATGAGTCCTGGTGAGGAGCAGTTTGTTAGGCATACTGGGAATTTCAAAGGGAACAGAGAGTGAAGGGTATTTGGGAAGGAGACGGCTAAGATTTTCCAGGTAAATTGTTTTAAATTGATGGCCCACTAAAATGCTCCTAGCTTTGCTACTCTTATATAGTGAATTACTTACAAAACTCTTCTGGTTTCCCTCTATTTATTTCATGAATAAGGAATTATTCTGAAAAGAAAAATCACTAATCCGTCCACACCTTGAACACACACTAAATAGAGAAGATGGTAAAAAGTTCCTAATCTTCCATACAGTGAAATAAAACAAGAGTCCTAGTCTTTCTCCCATGAAATGAAGATTGGTCTGTAGTACCAATGACCTATTTTCCCTGGTAATGCAATAGCTACTCTGAGTTCAGCACACCAGAAGAAAGAACAAATGTCTTCTGAGCAGCACTTGGATACCATGGTGATGAGTACAGTGTAAGCACCTAAATGGACTGGAAAAGTTTTCAATGTGTTTTTACTTTACTTTTATGCGTACCTATACAGAATTGCCACCAATGTTTACCCTAAAGAGCTAGTAACTTTCCAATTTGGGACAATAAAGACTGTGTGATTTACTGAATGTGACAAGGAGTTGCAGGAAAAATATAGGATGATTTAATCTGAAGTTTCTGAAAATTTGAGAAAAAAAGAGTTAGGAGGTGCTTTATCCAGGGTATTGTAATATTATTATTAATAATACTATGCATGTATAAAACTCATTTCATCTGTAGCTCTCATATTGTTCTCAAAAATGAATGAAGTAGGACTTTTAACACTTTATGAAAAGCATAGTATGGACCTCATCGGTTTACAGACATGGTTGAGACATGGTTTAAATGTCTTGCCCCTCTCTCACTCCAAACTCCCTTCCTCTAGCAAGCCACTGACAGAAGAGAAGTCGAATCCACCCCTCCTGATTTCCAGCCCTCTGCTGCAGCCAAGCCACAAGGTTATATTCTTTCCATTTGCTCAATCAGATGAAGGCTTCATTTCTTTCCCAAGAGATTCTTAAAGTGGGAAGGAATGGCCTTAAGGAGAAATTCTGACATTTTGAATCTTTAAGAGACTGTTTTTAATGTATCTACTGTTTCTTCACGCTGCAGAATTCACAAATATAAGGACATTATTGCAGAATCCATTTTGAATTTTACACATGGAGCATACCATTCTCTTTTGGTATTGTGATGAGAGAAGAGGCATATCAGCTTCTGACAGGTTCATCTTGGGGATTGGGGAGGACATGAGGTTATCCCTTTCCGAAGTTATTCGACATCTGGGTTTCCCCTTCAACAATGTTTTGACATGAGATAATTGCTAGCTTCATTCATGTGAGTGGATGGGTTTAAACACAGCACTGCAAGAAGTCATGTGGCTCTCTTTCTTAAAGGACCAAAGTACCCTATACCACTTCCAAATTGATGTTATTGCTTGCTTTTGCAGTGATGTATATATAGATATAGATATATATAACTTTACTTGACCTATTATATATCCCTTCATCAAACACTCCGGAGAATAGGGAAATAACAGTGAAGGCAGGGAACACTGAAGAAAAAGAACCAACTAATATATAACAGTTTGTGTTTGGTAATCAAAGTATAATAAACACTTAGAAAAAAACAAATGCATTGGAGTAATTTTTAAATGAAAGCCTTATTTTTGGCAGTTTTTCCTTTTAGTTCTGTACACTCATCAGCATTTTGAACTATTCTATTTCAAATAGCCACAAAGCTCACAAATGAGACAGCAGATCCAATACTTTATTGATGCTTACAGCAGGATAAAATGAAAAAGCTCTGATTTAAATGGTTAGGCTGGCCATCTTTCAAGCTATCATTCTTTCAAATCCCTGTACTCCAGCAATTTGCCTGGAGACTTGCAACTCATCTGACTCCCACTTCAGAGAACAAAATTCCCTGAAACAAGTGGATAATCTCCACTGGCTATGATTTTATGATAGTGCTTTGATTAGCAGGTGAACTTTCTACTGAAGTCATGTGAAGTAAGTAATTATTTCATTTTACAATATTGCTGTTCAGGTATTATTGAAAATTGAATTTTAGCATACTCAGCAAAACAATACAAGACATGGGATAGGCAAAGGAAACTATAACACTGACTTGAAAAAAATTTAAAAAGTGGTGTCTGGTCACTTTATACATGGCAGGTCTCCAAGTACATGCTGAATTGCAAAAATATAGCACATACAAAAAGAATATTTATGTGTCCTTCTTCACTACATGCACAGAATTTTTTTCTGTCTCACAAACTGTAACCACAATTTACAAGTATATGCACAATCAAATTGCTATTGATTTAGCAATGCATTTCTTTGATGTCCCTTGCCTTAACCTCATTTATAAAGCTGTTTTGCATTATTTCAAACTGTCAATGATTTGTGACTCATGAATATTCAAATCTAATTTGCACTTACCTTTTTTTGCATGCATGCTTACTTGTTATGTGTCTCTACATTTACTCTTTTGTTTTGAATTTATTTTTAGACTGTGTTAAGTATATTCAACTTTTAAAGTAATACTATCTATTTAAACACAAGAGGCCTGATCTCCCCAAAATAATTTTGAATCAATCTAACACCAGTAACTTTTTTTGCAGTGTACTGATTTATATAAAAGAAGAGAATTAAGCCCAAGAACTGTCTTCCTATCTTTTTCCCTGTCCCCCACTTTACATTGATCAAATCAGTACTTTTACTAAATGTTTCCATGCAATAGCAGTAATTACAATTAATTTTTTTTTACCAAAGGAGTCCTGAAAAAAAAATCCCTTTATCCTAGCACCTTCAAATTCTAGGGCAGTGTAGGATTACACTTGCCTGGAGAATGCAAGACTTGGACCCAATGTTACTCACTGATAGCAGAGTATTCTGCTATACAGTACAACAAACATAATTTTTCCTTTGTTTGTAATTGTGCTACACTCAACAAAGAATTTCACAACTTCAGGAATACCAATACAGAAAGATAGTGTTTCCCATGGAAATAAAATAATAAATGCAGACATGAACTCCACACTGCAATATGGGTCCAAAATTACATTCTTTGTACACTCATAAATCTCACTAAAGTCAATAGGAATTTTAGATGCACAAGGGATCCAGGACCAATAGCTTCATGTCTGCTTTTCCATTTGTGCTGGATTATGTAAGCAATGTAATGGTTCCCACAAACACTAAAAATCTCTTTAGATGTTTATTTCTAAAATAAACAGTTATCCTGAACTTATTGACTGAAGACAGCACCTTATTCATGACTAAAATTTGGAAATAACAGTAAGAAACATCTGCCTCTTGACTAAATAATATTCTTCTTACTCCTGAAAAAATGGCCTACCAAAAACAGAATGACTGTGGGGTTATGTCAGACCAAGAAAAGAAAACTGGGAAAATTACCCTCATGATAATGGGACCTTTATTAAAAAAAAGTTTTAAAAATGTAATTAAACCATTGTAATAAAAATAGAGCCAGTTTCATATTGCAAAAACTATAATTGCAAACAGTTGTTCAGATTTCAAAGTGCTTTTTGATTTGATCATATTTCTGCTCCTTTTTACACAGGATTTGTGGACGTTTGGAGGAACCAGCTTTTATTTATATAAATGTTACAACTGTATAAATGGGTCTTTTTTCTCGGTTTGATCCTGCTCCTATTGACCTAAATGGAACAGGATCATGCCCTATATGAATACTTATACTTACATGTAAGCAAAAAAACACATACCCAGGCAAGAAGATTTTTTATTCACTTGTGTTATTTGTTAGCTGCTTATTTAAAAAAATTCAGCCAACCTATTGGAGGACAGAACTAGTACTAGACACATGATGAAGTGCAAAAAGAATGCATGAACGTGCTGTAAACAACCCATAGACTGAAACCTGTTTATTGAAAGTGTTCTTGAAGTGGTGAATACTTGCAAATAAAAAATACAAAAATAAGGATTCATTGTAGGGCCCAAACCCTTGACTGGGGCTCTCCAGGTGATACTATAACACGCATACAAAATAAGAAGTGGTCTGTGAACAGAAAATGGGGTTACATACAGAAATGTATTCACAGTAAATAATACCATCAGTTCTTCCTCAAACAGAAAAATGCTTTGAAAACATTTATTTTTAACTTTGTTTTCTAATTACATAAATATAATGTTGTGGAGTATTTAATGTTAACTAACTATAAATATATTCCTTTCTGGTATATTTATAGCTTAATATTTTTTTTCCAGCAGATCTAGGATCATGCGACTAAATGGCATGTCTCAGCTGTTGTGAAGTACAAGGTAAAGCCATGTGCCCTCAAACACCCAAGAAATAGTATTATCCAGTATGACACATGCCTAGATATGTCTTATTGTGATCATAATACAGCCTCAAGGTAAAACTACAGGACAAACACTTCTTACGCTCTTTCATTGGTATTTATATTTATCTCTTCTAAAGAACAGCTTGTATTAGAGCTATTTATGCCACCAATCAATAGAACTATTAGTGACAGTCTATAATTGCATATGAGGTAATGATATGTGTTTATACTTGTTTTATATGAAACATATTAGTACTTTGTTGTTTAATCATATTTCATCAGTATTCATCAGTAAAAAAAAACTATTTCGGCAGAGGTGAAAAACAGTTTTAAACAGTAGTCTGTGCAATGTACTTCAGAACCTGAGAGATCCTGTTGCAAAAGTGTCATAAAAAGATGAGAAATATTGAAAGCATTATTAAGGGCCTTATCTTTTGAGATGCTGGGGAATTCCTCAAGATGCTGCATGGTCAATTTAATCAGTGGGAACTGGGAGGGCTCAGCACTTTGGAGAATGTGCTTAGACTACTGAAGGATCAGGTAAAAGGAAGCCTATCCTGGATTCCTCATTGAGGCAAAAGGAGTATTTAAACCAATGAGACTTTTGCCCTAGGTTTGAACCCCAGAATACTGAAGATTTTCAATATGTATCACAGATTTTCTGAAGAGATGCAAAACTTGGAGACAGATTATCATTGCGAGTATCCTGCTGTTTAGTAGTTGAGTTTTCAGACAGATCTGCAGAGGTTGTACAGGATTAGTAGAAGTCAGCCCCTTGTTCCTTTACCTTGTGCATGAAAATGATTACAAACATCATTATAATAGCATAATCTGTAACTCGGTTGAAGTCAAGCAGAAGCCTGGGCAGGATTGTACACTAAGTAATTCAGAGAAGCATAGGCTACAGCCTGCTTTTCCAGAATCCATTCATAGCATTTGATGAAGTAGGCTGTAGTCTGCAAAAGTTCAAGCCTCTCTGAACAAGTTAGTCTTAAGGGTGCCACCCTACCCCACCTTCTGCCTAATTTCAGACTCACAGGGCTATCTCTCTCTCTCTGCCTCTTAAGTTGGTGAAGTTACACCACAGATGTGTTTTACCCTTTGAGTTTCATCTGGTGACTGTAAATAGAGGAAGCTGGTAAGTGGAAGTTCAGTGCAATGTCCAGGCACTGCAAACATGATTGTTTGCTCTGAAGTGCAAAGTGGCTTCATTCTCTGTCCCTGGTCTTTGACATCATCACAGCCTTGGGGGGGGGGGGGCGTTCTATGTATTTATTTATTTGTTTACTATTTAAAATGTACAGTTTTGGTATAATACATAGCGACTACAGCTACCTAGACTTTCTTAGTCTGAAATTGCTGGTGAATGTGGTGATGTCCTGAGATTTCTTGTCTCATGCCATTCCTCTTCATCCATCTTATGGTGGTCATTTTGTAGCAAGGCTATTCTTTACACTGTGATGTTATTTTGGACCATCTTGCTGAAACCTGCCAAAATCCAAGCAGGAAAATAAGATTATAAAAAATAATAATGAACACTAGACAAAAAATAAATATAGATTTTCCTTTCACAAAGTAATATGAAATTATTTTCCCCAGATATTTCCCAGAACATGTTGTTCATTGTTCTACATTTGTGGGTAATTAATTTAACAGGGGGAGGGGGGTGAAAGGAGCCAGATAGGTCACACTAGGCATGTGTGAAACAGAAGTTTGCAGTGGTGGACAGCCAAGAAATGTTTTCAATATGCATTACAATAAATGTTAAGAGAGGAGTATAAAAGAGACCAGGCTAATGAATCTGTAAGGTGATTCTCACCTGGCTCATCCACTGTTGGGTGGGTAGGGTTTCGAGTTTCTTTTATTTAATTTTGTGGGGGGTTTTCTGATAACTGTTAGAAAGGTGTTCAGGAACAACTTGAATTTATTCATATTGTCATTCTTTTGTGGCTCCGACCATGCATGATGAAGAATGAGACTAACCATATCTCCGGGTTTAGTAGAATTTAAAAAAAATGCCCCCATTCTGACCTACCATTGCTTGGGGCAGGGATGCTGCACCCAAAGGTTATGTCAGGAGCTAAGAATCTGCTCCCATTTGTACTAAACCTCTGGGGCAAATATTTACAATAAGTTGTTGGAAGACTTTCTAAGATTGGCAAGCCACCCTGCCCTTGGCTAATGAGTCTGCCCAGGAGAATATCAAGTGCAATTACCTTTCAGGGAATAACAATACACCAGTGAACCATGGACCCTGTAGAGGGAAACGAAACACACAGTCGTAGGTAGAAAAAGCTATGAATCAGTATTAATTATCCAATAGAGGGAACAGGGTTGCAATAACTCTCGGTCCCTGACTCACACCAATAGATCATAGCAAGTGTGAGCTACTTATAGGAAACTATTTGCAAAGTTCAACCCTCCCATACCCCCTGAACACACACGTTTCACAGCTTTTGTTTATTTTGTGCTAATAATGAATGTAGTCGAGGTGCAGTTTCTTTCTCTATCATTTGCAATTGATGGGGCAAGTTTCCCCACTCTTAGGTGATCTGGAAGGGGTGATAATAAAACAGGCCAGGCCAGTGGCAATAAGAATTCAGTTAATGTCAGTGGGGTAGTTAATCTACTGCAAAGGTTAATTCAAGGTTTTCCGTGTGCATTCACTGAAGACTGCGTGCTTCCCTCAGACATGATTCAGAAGCGGGGCTCACAGGTAATGGGCTACCTTTGGCTTCAGGAAGCTGGGAGAACTTTGCACTGCTCAGTGCCCTAGGAAATGTACAGTGTAGAAGAGGGAAAATATATCCCAGACGTTTTGATCCCATTACATACATGGGTGGGGGGGGGCAATATTTTGGCTTCAGTGATTAGAAAACTGTGTGAAAATGCATAGCCCATCCAGACCCGAGCTAGTTCCCAGACTGGTGTGTTTCAAGCAGCTGCTGGAGTCCACTTGAGATGGGTCTGAAAACCAGTAATACTAATACTACAGAGGATCCAGCCTCCCCACTAGAGCAGGGAACGGGCAGGTCTGAAGGCGGGTCCCTTTGTGCCCAGGTGCCAGCCGCAGCCCGTGTGCCCCTGGCTCGGGCCAGCATGCCTCGCCGCAGACCTCGCCGTGCTGAGGGACTTGCTGGAGGCAGGAGCAGCTGCCCGGTGCGGCGCGGGGGACCCCCGTGGCCATCTCTGCCAGCGCCTGCGAGGAGGGGCGGCTGAAACGAGGCACACATCTATTGAGTTTGTCAGGGCTCATAAAACGCGAATTGATTATTCAAACAGCCATTGATTATAAAAGAATGCTTACTGCAGCAATGGGAAAGGTTAAAAGGAAATTGACCTTCTGCATACGTGACATAAAGTCATTAGGCAAATGAGATATTCATACAGGGGATAATCAAGGTCGGGCTCGTTTTATTTGCAGCATTAAACTCCGTCTTCGAGGCTCGGCGAGGGGCAAGCGAACTGGCCCCTTGGGAGCCAGGTAAACCTCAGGGGCTGAAAGCAAAACGCTGCCCGAGCCGATGCGGTGGCCGGGCCCGATCCCGCG